TTCTGTGGGCGTGGCTTGGTGGGCGTGGCAGGGGAAGGATAACTGTAAAATCTCCGGTCAGAGGTGGGATTTGCCGGTTCTCTGAACTACTCACATTTTCCACTACCGGTTCTCCAGAACTGATCAGAACCTGCTGAATATCAACCTCTGATCTGATCTCTTCTCCTTTCTGGTACAGGGATGGTGTTCAAAGTGTCTTGAGCAGTTTGTCCATTGACCCCAAAGAATTGGCCTATGGACACACCAAGATTTTCATCCGAAGCCCATCCACGGTGAGCTAATGGTACTTCAGGGCAACGGAGGCTGAAGAGGTCAAGATTGCTATGCTAATTAAGAGTAAAAGGAAAAGAAGATTTTGCTTGTGGGACTAAGCTGGATAATTCCTCACTTTTAATTTTCTAATTGAAAGCAAGGATTTTAAATGCCTCCTAAATATATGCCTGTGCAGCTAATCCATTTTTTTACCTTTATATTCTCTCGCGTCACACACTTTCCTTGATTGCTGCTGTTGCTTCCTCTTTCTTTTGATTCCACTAGTGTATTGATTTGCTCATCATTGTAGGATGCGCTCAACCAGATTTGGCTGTTTAATTACATACTGAGGAAAAAGAAAGAGCAATTGAAACAAATGTTTTGGAAAATCTAAAGTATATCACTGCTTCCTGCTGAGTCTTATCAATCCCTTACTAAAACAAAACAAAAAAATAACGGCAAAGCCTTCCTTCCCACTTGCTCTTCCAGTTCTTTGGGAATTTATTGTAGTTTTCTAAAGTTTACATTAACTAACCTACAACTGAGCTAATGAAAGGAGTGGCAACACCTACTCAATCTTGACTACCCTAGAGCGATAAACAAGATCAGATTAGCTGGGTTGGAACCATCAAGAAATCCCAAGGCTGCAGACCAAACAGCGAAATCAAAAAAGCATTTCATAAGAAAGCAGTGGCAAAATCCCTTCTGGCCCATGCCAAGAAAACTGCATGAAGGTGTTGAAGGAGATATTACAGGTAGTCCTCAACTTACAACAGTTCATTTAGTGACCATTACAACGGCATTGAAAGATGTGACTTATGACCGTTTTTCACACTTTAGGACCATTGCAGCATCCTCTTCGTCACATGATCATTGCCATTTCGGATACTGGGCAACTGACTCACATTTACGATGGTTGCCATGTCCCGGGAGGATCACGTGATCTCCTTCTGGGACCTTCTGGCAAGCAAAGTCAATGGGGAAAGCCAGATTCACTTTACAACCATGTTACTAACTTAACGATTGCAGCAATTCACTTAACGACTGTCCAGGACAAAGGTCATAAAATGGGCAAAGGTCATTTAACGAATGTTTCACTTAGTGACAAAATTTTGGGCTCAATTGTGGTCGTAAGTCGAGGACCACCTGTAATACTGGAAATGTTTACTTGAAAAAGGAAGAAGAAAAAAGAATGTGTTGAGGAGAGAAGAGGCTTATCATTCCTAAACAATGATAAAGGTGACGTTTTGAAGGAAATAATCTTCCGATCCTCACAATATTCATGAGATTCTCGAGACAAAACCCACAAAGAATAGGACCCACTGACATTTAACCAATTAGGCTTAGTACAGGTAGCTCTTAACTTATGGTTGTTTGTTTAACAGTTGTTTGAAGTTACAATGGTACTGAAAAAAAAGTAACTTACAACAGGTCCTCACAACCCTCACAGCATCCCCACAGTCACATGGGGTACTTGGCAACTTATGCCAGTTACAGCATCCTGGTTTGTGTGATTTGCATTTATTACCTTTCTGGGAGGTTTCCGACAAGCAAAGTCAATGGGGAAACCTGGGTTTACTTCATGACTAGTGTGATTCACATAACCGTGTTAAATATAGTCGTAAAATCAGGCACAGCTCAGCGACAGAGGTTCTGGTCCCAATTGTGGTCCTAAGTCAAGGACTACCTGTAAAATGCTACCTGTACTCAAACCTCAGTCTACCTTGGTGACTTTCCAACCTTCTTTACAGCTTTTTGATTTGGAGAGGAGACGCCAGCAGCGAGTACAGGAGTTGGCTGCCTTAATCCAAGCAGCTTTCCGGGCATGGAAGTGTCGTAAGAATTACCAAGAGATGCGCAGGAGCCAGATCCTTATTTCGGCTTGGTTTCGGGGCCAAAGAGTAAGAAGCAAACAGACACAGAGTTGTATATGTTTAGCTGCTTTTGATAAGCGAACTCTACTGATTTTGGTGCAGAGAGTGCAGAGAAGAGCAACAAAGATGATTAAGGGACTGGGGATTAAAACATATAAAGAGCAGTTGCCGGAACTAGGTATGTCTAGCCCAGTGGTGGGATTCAAATTTTTTTACTACCGGTTCTGTGGACGTGGCTTGGTGGGCGTGGCAGGGGAAGAATACTTTAAAATCTCCAGTCAGAGGTGGTAGTTCCTGGTTCTCCGAACTACTCAAAATTTCCGCTACCGGTTCCCCAGAACTGGTCAGAACCTGCGGAATGCCACCCTTGGTCTCGTCTAATGAAAAGAAGGACTAGGGGGAACATGATTGCAGTGTTCTGATATCTCAAAGGTTGCCACAAAGAAGAGGGAGCCAACCTATTCTCCAGAGCAGGACAAGAAGCAATGGGTGGAAACTAATCGAGGAGACAAGCAACCTAGAACTAAGGAGAAATTTCCTGATGGTTAGAACGATTAATCAGTGGGACGGGTTTGCCTCCAGAAGTTGTGAATGCTCCAACACTGGAAGTTTTAAAGAAGAGATTGGATAACTATTTGTCTGAAATGCTATAGAGTCTCCTGCCTGAGCAGGGAGTTGAACTAGAAGCCCTCCAAGGTCCCTCCCAACGCTGTTATTCTGGTTGTGCAAGGGTCTCTATGGCAGCTCAGCTTAAAGTCTTTGTGTAGCCTTTGCCCACAAGGACCAGTGCCAGATCCACCCAACTGCACTAAACTTTCTTGGGTGTGTACCTCTGTTAGGATTTACCTTCTGTGCTGAGAGCAGCCTCCAGAAATTATTGAAAGTTTGCTTAGTGGCAAGATATGGAGAATATGCATCCATCTCCCACTGTCGCATGGGGATAGAACAGGAAAGGGCAACATTTTAGGGGCTACAGACCATATTCTATTAATGTGATTAATTTCAGTAACAGGACTAGACGGGCAGGATGTCATATGTACTGAAGTTATAGTGTGTGCTTTTCCTCTCCCTTTTCATGTTGAAAAACCATATAAAACTGCACTTCTTGTACAAAGCCGATGGGTTTTTGAGGCTGGGGGTGGGATTCAGTAGCCATATGATATCCAATAGGCTGATGATCTCACACGCATGTGGGACAGAACTTCTGCCAGGGTGAAACTAAGCCAATGTTGGTATGCACAATATCTTTGGCTACTATGCATGCGGATCAAACAAAAACTGGTTTGCCTACTATCTGTTACTTTTATCTCTCTAGTAAAGTAGACATTTTATTTTGCAGGAAAGGAAGAAATATTTAAAAATGAAAATGTCGGCTATTCTTATTCAGGCCTATATCCGAAGTTGGAAGGTAAGGAATTGTGTCATGGATATAGCCAAGCACTTAAAGATTCTGGGTTCAATGCAAAGTTAACACTTGTAATTAAGAAATGTGTTCCTAAATTTACTTTTATTCACCTTCTTTCATATTCAACCATTACAGAACAAAATCTTCCAAGATGTGCAATCAAAGTATTCTGTTCTTTTGATTATAGTCAATATAGGAGAGTCTTTTGAATTCTGCTACCTTTTAGATATCCTAAACATAATGTTCCTAGTTTTTACCAAGATGCTAACTAGAAGAATGAATAAATAAATTTTCATACAATTTCCTGGATATTGATAACTTATGTTTTTGAAATATCTATGCAACCCACAGATGTACAGTAAATAACTCTGCAGAATTTCAGAGCAGAACTAGATGTAATATGTGATGTTCATTTGTCTATGACATTAATAGAAATGAACAAACAACTCAATCCCCCCACCATCTGCTCCATACACAAGAAATGATATGGGAAATGGATATCACAATTGGTGCAGGGCTGGAGCTAATGTGATGATTGTGCTAGATAAAATATGCAGCAGGGTTTTGTTGATTGTATAGAAAACCTTGGTTATTCCTGGGTTTTTCAGTGATACCTTCAGTTCTATTTTCATAATTTGAAGGGCCTTAGAATCCTATTTCCCATTGCCTATGATATTTGAATTGGTGGGAACCTATCACTAAAGCAGGAAACAGAAATGGGTAACGATGAAGGGAATGAGAGCGATTTTCAGAGACCTCGAGCCATTTCCAAATCACAATAAGATTTCATGCTATCAAAAGAAATTGCAAAATGCCAAACCTGAGGTGAGGAAAATGAAACCACTGCTTCAGCCACTGGCTCAATATACTGTACTCAATGACAGGCTTCCAGTTATACTATGCTGCCCACATCTTAGGAAAAGTCCTTTCTTTTTTTTCTGAAACTTGGTTTCTATAATACTTAGTTGCTCCTGTACACATCTTTAGGTGAATTCATATGAAGTGGCAATACAGTTTATATCACACAATGCTATACTTGCAAATGTCCCATCTGAAAAATGTAGTTTGCTCCATAGTGGAGAAGAGTCTTATCATATGTACCAACTTATTCATTATTTCTTTCCAATTAACAAATTGTCGGTCTTTCAAATGGTTAATATATTATGTTTCATTAATTATGTTTTAATTATGTTAATAAATAATTTATATTTATAATACATATTTATAATATATATTTATATTTGTAATATATATTCTACAATATTATCTATCTATATAAAATTATTTATTTTTATACATTAAATTAACATAATTAAACATATAAGGTTTTATTATGTTAATTTAATTAGCATATGAAGAACGATTGCAGAAATTAGGTATGGCTAGTCTAGAGAAAAGAAAGACTAAGGGTGATGTGATAGCAGTGATGATTCCAGTATTTGAGGGGCTGCCACAAAGAAAAGGCAGTCAACTTATTTGCCGAAGCACCAGAACACAAGGCAAGAAACAACGGATGGAAACTGATCAAGGAAAGAAGCAACCTGGAATTAAGGAGAAACTTCCTAAGAGTGAGGACAATTAACCAGTGGGACAGCTCGCCTTCAGAAGTTGTGGGTGCTTCATCACTGGAGGTTTTGAAGAAAAGATTAGACAGCCACTTGTCTTAAATTGTATAGGGTCTCCTGCTTGAGCAGGGGGTTGGACTAGAAGACCTCCATGGTCCCTTCCAGCTCTATTCTGATTGAAGGCTGTGCATTGTGAAAACTCTGTTTCTGAAATATTGAGGGATGTGCTTCTTGACATTTACTTATGAACCAAATCTATCACTTAGGTTAGAAAGAAAAGCTGGTTTTAATTGTTTCTTTTTCTTTTCTGGGCCTTTGGAATAAAAGTAGATCTGTGGCTTTTGAAGTGAATTTTAACGTAAATCTCTAGTTGACAGGTCCACTGTGTCACAGTTTACACAACAAGGAGTCCTGTGGCACCTTAGAGACCAATTACTAGAACAACAGACTCAAAGCAATCTATGAAAATGGAATCTGCTCACTGTCTCTCTTTTTCTATGGGCTCCTTCGGGTTTCTTATCTATCCTTTCCCTTCCTCTACAGTCTCGTAAACTCCTGCGAGAGTTAAGGCAACAGAACTGTCGTGCTCAGGCTGCCACCACCATTTCTGCTTACTGGAAAGGTTACCAGGTATGGCTGGAGAACATGCCTAGATCTCAGCACAGTGGCCATGATTAGCCCTCCCTTATTCATACCTCTTAGTTAATTCTCTGTTTTCAGGATAAACCTAAACTACTCTTCTTTACTGAATTCTTCTGCATGAATTAGAATTAACTCTTGCCTTTGTAACACAGCTATCTTGAACGTTGCCTATTGTAGTAGTATAACATGAGTACCAATTGACTTTCCCAAGAATTTCTCCCCTTATGGCACGGGTGTCAAACTTGATTTCATTGAGGGCTGCATCAGGGTTGTGTTTGACCTTGGGGGTGGGGGGGCAAGGCCATCTCGACGTTACTCATGTCAGGAGCACCTGTGGTGGCCAAGTGCTAAGACAGG